GCGCGATCTCGGCTCACCGCAACCTCCACCTCCTGGGTTCAGGCAATTCTCCTGCCTCAGCCTCCTGAGTAGCTGGGATTACAGGCACACGCCACCATGCCCAGCTAATTTTGTGTATTTTTAGTAGAGACGGGGTTTCACCATGTTGACCAGGATGGTCTCGATCTCTTGACCTCGTGATCCACCCGCCTCGGCCTCCCAAAGTGCTGGGATTACAGGCTTGAGCCACTGCGCCCGGCCCAGGCTGGTCTTAAATCCTTGGCCTCAAACGATCCACCAGCCTCAGCCTCCCAAAGTGCTGGAATTATAGACATGAGCCACTGTGCCTGGCCCCCAGCATATTTTCAATAGATTTATTTGGTGTTCATGGTTAGATGAAGGCCGAACCTCTTTCTCCCTCTTTCTCTGCCTTTCCTTTTGTTTCCCCTTTTCCTCCATGTTTTCTCATTGTCTTTCCACTTTCCTCATTTCCTTTATTGTTTCCCTTTTTCAGTCTCTCTGCATTTTATTTCTCACTATTCCAATCTGGCTCTTCTGTTCCTCTCCTAAAATCGCTCATCAGTAGAAACTGATGCAAGTAGAAATAGAAAGCACTGAGCAGGAGGGCTCAGGTTTGATGACAGCTTTGCCAAAGGATGAGCCCAACTGTCGAGTTTCGAGAGGCAGATCCAGGCAAAGGCAAAAGTCAGTGAAAGAGGTACAGGGAGTAGACCTGAACTACTCTGAGTCCATTTCTTCTTTTTTTCTTTCCTTCCTTCCTACATTCCTTCCTTCCCTCCCTCCCTCCCACCCTCCTTCCTTCCTTCCATCCTTCCTTCCTTTCTCTCTTTTTGACGGAGTCTCGCTCTGTTGTCCAGGCATGGGAGTACGGTGGTGTGATCTTGACTCACTGCAATATCCACCTCCTTCCTGGGTTCCAGTGATTTTCCTGCCTCTGCCTCCCGAAAATCTGGGAATACAGGTGTGCATCACCACGCCCAGCTAATATTTGTATTTTACTTTTTTAGATGGAGTCTTGCTCTGTCACCCAGGCTGGAGTGCAGTGGCACGATCTCTGCTCACTGTAACTCTGCCTCTGCTTCCCAAGTTCAAGTGATCTCCTGCCTCAGCCTCCTGAGTAGCTGGGATTACAAGCACACACCACCACGCCTGGCTTATTTTTGTACTTTTAGTAGAGACAAGGTTTCACCATGTTGGTCAGACTGGTCTCAAACTCCTGACCTTGTGACCCACCCACCTCCCAAAGTGCTCAGCCTCCCAAAGTGCTGGGAATACAGGTGTGAGCCACCGCATCCAGCCTAATTTTTGTATTTTCAGTAGAGACAGGGTTTCACCGTGTTGGCTAGGCTGGTCTCAAACTCCTGACCTGAGGTGATCCCAAAGTGCTTGGATGACAGGTGTGAGCCACCGTGCCCAGACTTGACTCCATTTTTTATGCTACAGGAACTATACCAGGTTCCTGGAGGTACAGAGAGAAAAGACAGAATCTCACCTCGTCATGCATGGGAGTTGACTGGGAAAGTCAGCATACAGTGATGAGAGCAAAGAAAAGGAAGCAGGACGCAGGGGAGGCTTCGAGAGGAAAGGACATTTGAATGGACTCACACAGGAGGCGAGGGTGAAAGCACAGGCAAAGGCGTGGAGGTGTGGAGGAGCAGGGTTCACCTGAGGCCCTGAGCCAGGCCTGGGCATCGGGTGTGAGGGAGCAGGGGCAGGGGTGGATCTGGGAAGCTACTGAGGTCAGATTATGAAAGACCCTCAATGCTAGGCCTTGCGGGGTTGGAAGTTACTCTTAGGAGAGGAGCCTATGACTGGCTTCACTGAATAGAATCGGAATCTTAGAAAGATCTCTCTGGTACCAGAATACAGGCTGGATCGGCAGGGACAGAGGCAGTGAAGTTAGTTAGGGGGTAACTGCAATGTATCAGCCACAGGATGCCGACAGTATGAGCTGAGGATGGAGCTGGAAGTGGATAGGGGGTGGAGAAGAGGGGCCTGAATGAGAGATTGGGAAGAGGACTCAGAGAACTGGAAAGCAAACTGGATATGGAGGCAAGGGAGCATTGGTAAACACCCCTCTGTGTGCCTCTCACACTCTGAAACATCTTGGCATGCAAGGAAGCATGGCCCTGAGCATGCGTGACTGGGGCCATTCTTGCAGGTCGTGTCTGTAGTAAGGCAGCCTTGAGGGATGAGGTCATGTCTCCCTGTGGGAGCAAGAGCAGGCTTGCTTACTGCTTACTGTAAAAACCGGTGGATGCCCTGGGCTCACGGTTCCTCAGCTGTGGTGCAAACCACTGTATGTGTAGCCTTTACCTGGGCTCTCTGTGTCACACCTGTGGGACAGGAGGACCAACAGAACCCATGCGAACGTAACGTTCATGCTGCTCGCTGCTTTGTGAGTAAAGCTGTTTTTGACCCAAGAATCTCATCTTTTACTATGAAACAGCAGAGTCTTCTATTCCACAAGTCACAGGCTAACTTATTAGCTGCTAATCTGGGGGAAAATAAATCCCACACTGGTCAAGGAAAAGGAGAATTTCTGGCTTGAGTGACTTGGTATAAAGTAGTGCCTCTCACCAGGGGAGGAACAGGTGTGTAGAAACAAGAGGCTGAGGTCAGTTTTATACATGGTAATTGTCTTTTCCTGCCAAATAGGTGTGGTCCTTACATACAGGGATTGATCACTGGAGCTCACAGACCTGTTGGCAAATTCTGTTCCTAACTGAAGCAGGAATAGAAACCCCTAGAGGTTGGTCAGTCTCACATCCCAGCCATCCACCATGATCCTTTAGTGTATTCCTCTAGCACCTTCCTAGAGGGCAGGTGGAAAATAAATGTCTTTTTTTTTTTTTATGGTTTTTGAGAGGGAGTTTTGTTCTTGTTGCCCAAGCCAGAGTGCAGTGGCGCAATCTCAACTCACTGCAACCTCCACCTCCCAGGTTCAAGTGATTCTCCTGTCTCAGCCTCCTGAGTAGCTGGGATTACAGGTGCCCACCATCACACCTGGATAATTTATTTTTGTTTATTTTTAGCAGAAGCAAGTTTTCATCATGTTCCGTTAGCCAAGCTGGTCTCGAACTCCTGACTTCAGATGATCCGCCTGCCTCAGCCTCCCAAAGTGCTGGATTACAGGTGTGAGCCACTGTACCTGGTCATGAAAATAAACATCTTGGCCGGGCGCGGTGGCTCAAGCCTGTAATCCCAGCACTTTGGGAGGCCGAGGTGGGTGGATCACGAGGTCAAGAGATCGAGACCATCCTGGTCAACATGGTGAAACCCCATCTCTACTAAAACTACAAAAAATTAGCTGGGCATGGTGGCACGTGCCTGTAATCCCATCTACTCAGGAGGCTGAGGCAGGAGAATTGCCTGAACCCAGGAGGCGGAGGTTGCAGTGAGCCGAGATCGCGCCATTGCACTCCAGCCTGGGTAACAAGAGCGAAACTCCGTCTCAAAAAAAAAAAAAGAAAAAAGAAAATAAACATCTTAAAAGAACCTGAGTAATCTGAATAGCCAGCTGAAATGTATTCATTTTACGTATCTTATTCAACGTACAGCATTACATAGTGACCTCAACTGTACCAAGAAAACCGGGTTTCTGGGAACGCTGTTGACCCCTCTCTCCTTTCTCAGTCCTGGTGGTTCCAGGGGAGAACAACTGAAGGAAGGAAAAAGGCAACTGGGCTGGGGGAGGAAGGTGACAGCAGGAGAAAGAATGAATCCAAGACATTTTCTTCTTAGGCAAGGAATCCATGTCTATTGCCAGCCTTGCCCTATAGCAAGGGTTCAATAAAAGGTTTTGAATATATTCATTTTGGCTTTTGTTCATCCATTACACAATCCTAAATAATTCCTCTTCATATTTTGGCAATGAAAATTTTAATACTTTTTTTTCCCTCTAAGTCACGGATTCAATTGATAAAATAGCTCTGGTCACTTACCCGGTCATTCAAGAGCTGATGGTTTAAGGGTGTCCAAGTGCTCATCTTTGTCTGCATTTTGGGACCATCTGTGTTTTTTGGAGGTGCAAATGCCATCATGAAACAGCTGGATATCCTTCCATAAGAAAGACAACACCTAACAGAAGAAGTGAATCATATGACCCTCAGAATACAAAAAATACCAACACCGGCCAGGCACGATGGCTCACGCCTGTAATCCCAGCACCTTGGGAGGCCGAGGCAGGAAGATCACTTGAGGTCAGGAGTTTGAGACCTGCCTGGCAAACATGGCGAAACTCCATCTCTACTAAGAATACGAAAATTAGGTGGGTGTGGTGGCACATGCCTGTAATCCCAGCTAATCAGGAGGCTGAGGCAGGAGAATTGCTTGAACTCAGGAGGCAGAGGTTGCAGTGAGCTGAGCTTGAGCCATTGCACCCCAGTCTGGGCAACAAGAGAGAAACTCTGTTTAAAAAAAAAAAGAGCCAGGCATGGTCGTGCATGCCTGTAATCACAGCTACTCGAGAGACTGAGGCAGGAGAATCACTGGAACCTGGAAGGTGGAGGTTGCAGTGAGCCAAGATAGTACCACTGTACTCCAGACTGGGCAGCAGAGCAAGACTCCATCTCAAAAAAAATGTTAATACCATATAATTTTTCAGTATGTCGGCAGAGGGAATGGGTGGGAAGAGCATTTATTGGGAGCATCTTATATGTCAAGCACTTCATACATCTGCTCAATGGAAGCATACAACTATCAGGTGAGGTGGTAGTTTTTAACTCATTTTACATATGAAGAAAATTCGGCTCATTGACTTTACCCTGTCTGAGTTCATACAGAGAACAAATGGTGGAACTGGTAGTCAGACCCAGGTCAGTTTAATTTCACTGGACTTGGGGGGAAATCCAAAATCACTCCTAGCCAATATACTATATTTCTACTTTATTTTCACTGGACTCTGGGGGAAATCCAAAATCACTCCAAGCCAATATACTATATTGGCCAGAAAGAAAAGTATTTTAAATTTAAAATCATAATGCAATATAAAACACTTCATTCTTGTCCCTTGTGATATTAACTCTCCTCCTTCCTTCTTAACGTCCAGATATCCAAATAACAGGAACTCCTGCCTGACAGCGTAATAAAGAGGATGCATGGTGGGAGAGACAAAGCTAAGGCGTAGGAGATGAAAAGATTTGAGTTCATTGGGGGAAATTTGCTATTTTTAGTTAGCTGGTATATGTCTGCCTCCTTTTGATTAAAATACTTTAGTTTTCAGAAGGAATGACTTTTCCTTCATTGTTTAGAGCCTGGTGGTTTAATTAATTAAGGTAGCCTGTCCTTCCCTAGCCAAGAGATGGTCATGAGACTAAGCTAGGCCAGCTGGTCTGACAATAGCTTATTCTTATTTTATTGATTTAATTATTTATTTTGAGACGGAGTCACCCAGACTCCAGTGCAGTGGTGCCATCTTGCCGCTCTGCAACATCTACTTCTCAGGTTCAAGCAATCCTCCTGCTTCAGCCTCCCGAGTAGCAGGGGTTACAGGTGCGTGCCACTATACCTGTCTAATTTTTGTATTTATTTTATTTTATTTTTTTTAGTAGAGATGGGATTTTGTCATGTTAACCAGGCTGGTCTCAAACTCCTGGCCATAAGTGATCTGCCCACCTTGGCCTCTCAAAATGTTGGGATTACAGATGTGAGCCACTGTGACTGCCACTATTTCACAGGTGAGGTGGTCATTCAAAGTAGCATTGTTAACCTGGGCAGACTGTCCAGTTGTCCCTGCTATTTCACTGCCCCTCACCGCTCCCTACAAAAGCCCCATGTCCTTTCTAACATGGGGCTAATGTAAGCAAATAGGAAACTTACTGCAATATCCTTGCAAAAAACTTCCTATTTGCGTACATTAGCTAGAATCTGTTTCTGTTGTTTGCAACCATTTTCTTTCTTTTTTTTTTTTCTTTTTTTTTTTTTTACTTTATGCAGGTTTAATCCTGGCCCTAGCCTGTACTAACTGTGTAACTTTATGCCAGTTATTTAATCTACCTGAGACTCAGTTTCCTCACCTGTAAAATGAAGATGTATACAACCACCCTCAACTGCTGTATCAAAGATTAGAGAAAAAGGGTCCAGCAGAGGGCCTGACATGCAGGTGGTCTTGATAAACGGGCTCACTGCAACCTCTGCCTTCTGGGTTCAAGGGATTCTCCTGCCTGTCTCCCGAGTAGCTGGGATTACAGGCATGCACCACCACGCCTGGCTAATTTTTGTATTTTTAGTAGAGATGGGGTTTCCCCATGTTGGTCAGGCTGGTCTTGAACTCCTGACCTCAAGTGATCCACCTGCCTTGACTTCCCAAAGTGCTGGGATTATAGGCCTGAGTCACTGCGCCCAGCTACAGAGATTTTTTTTTTCTGTTTCTTCTTTTCTCCACATCCAGTCTTAAAGTTATACCTGATAGAGATTTCTAATACCTACAAAACATAATTGCCCCCACTTCACCAACAAAACAAAGCAAGTTGTCATTCCCTCCTTCCACAGTTGCTTTTTTGTGATCTCCTTCCCTGTAAGGACTACCTTTAAATAGTCATCTTTAATTTTTCTTAGAATGAAAATACAGAAAGAAGGCCTATGACCCTAGTTCTTGACATATGGTTCTAGTTCATTTTCAATAGCAAGGATGGGTCCTCTGGCTACATACTTCCAATTTGATCTTCTAAGCCATTTTTTTTTTTTTTTTTTTTGGACAGGGTCTTGCCCTGTCACCCAGGCTGGAGGGCAGTGGTGTGATCATAACTCAACACGGTCTCAACCTCCTGGGCTCAAGCAATCCTCCCATGTCAGCCTCCTAAGTAGCAGAGACTATAGGTCCGTTACCACACCTGGCTAATTTTTTTGTATTTTTTGTAGAGACAAGGTCTCGGTTTGTTGCTCAAGCTGGTCTCGAACTTCTGGGCTCAAGCAATCCACCGCCTCAGCCTCCCAAAGTGCTGAGATTACAGGCATTAGCCCCCACCTCCTGCCCTAAGCCATTCTTCACACAGTTATCATTATTCAACTGCCTTATTAAGTACCTACAAGGCAGGTGTGAGGAGTACAAAGCTAAAGGTCTGCTTTAATGAGCTCACGTTCTCTGTTAGGTTTTTTTTTTTAACTTTTTTTTTTGTTTTTTAAAGATGGGGTTTCACCTTGTTGGCCAGGCTGGTCTTGAACTCCTGACCTCAGGTGATCCACTTGCTTCAGCCTCCCAAAGTCCTGGGATTACAGGCATGAGCCACCACACCCGGCCTCTGTTAGGTATTTTTTAAAAGACCAGTTGATCATGTCACTTTTCAGCTCAAAACCTTCAGAGGTTCACTGATGGCTACAAGATCCAGACCTCCTTGCACAGAATTCTAGGTCTGTCATGATTTTACCTCTACCTACCCTTTCAGCCTCACCTGGTCACACCTTCATGCACTTTCTGCCCAGACACACTGAACTCATGGTTATGGTGAGAACGAGCCACACCACTCTGATGATTCTTGGCTTATACGGTTTTCTGACACTCACTGCTCAACTGAATCATCACAGTAGTTTATAATAGGTACTTGATAGTTGTTAAATCAATAGAAAAAATGACTACAGCAGTGGAGGTAGGGAGCAGTTTAAGGATTAAAACTTGTAGAAATGTTTGGGAGGCTAAGGTGGGTGAGTCGCTTGAGTTCACAAGTTCAAGACCAGCCTGGGCAACACAATGAAACCCCATCTCTACCAAAAACAAAACTAAAACAAAAAAAATTAGCAGAGTGTGGTGGTGTGTGCCTGTAGTCCCAGCTACTTGGTAGGCTGAAGTGGGAGGATTGCTTGAACCTGGGAAGCAGAGGTTGTAGTGAGCCAAGGTCGTGCCACTGCACTCCACCCTAGGGGAAAGAGTGAGACCCCCATCTCAAAAAATAAAAAACCACCATCACCACCACCAAAACTTGTAGAAACATAGACCAGCTGTGGTGGCTTGGGCCTATAATCCCAGCATTTTGGGAGGCCAAGGCAGGTGGCCTATCTCTACAAAAAAAAAAAAAAAATAGCTGGGCACTAGTGTCGGTGGGCACTAGTCCCAGCTACTCAGGAGGCTGAGGTGGAAGGGTCGCTTGAGCCCAGAAGTTCAAGGCTGCAGTGAGCTACGATTGCACCACTGCAGTTCAGCCTGGACAACACAGCAAGACTGTCTCAAAAAACAAAAACAAAAGCAACAACAGCAACAAAAAACCTTGTAGAATTGTAGCAATGTAGAGCGAAACTCAGAACATGATAAACTGGGCTCTGGGGTTACATGAAGAATTATCGGATTTTAAAATTTGTAGTTTATTTAGCAGAATAGGACTAGGTCTCTCTGCTAACACAGAATTTATCCATCGTACACTGTAATATCATTAGACAAGGGAATCTCAAATTATCAAGAAATAGGGTATGGGTAGATTCAAATACGAATTCATCTTCCACTTAACTAGCTTTTAAAAAGCAAGAACTATAATACAACGCAAAGAGCTAGTGCTTGGTAAGCATATCATTATCTGCGGGTTGTTAATGTCACAGGTATGAAGTATCTGGCAGTTGCACCGTAGCCCGAAAGAGAGAGCACAGTAAAATCCCCAGGAGCACTGCGAAGGCTCGTGAGAGGCCCTGGAGCTCTCCAAAGAGAGTCTCCATCTTTTTCATGCACTGCCCACAGTTCTCACCTCTTTTAGCTTGTCTCCCTCTTCAAGCCTCAAGCGCTGACGTTGCCACAGTTGCATTAGGTCAGCTTTTTCTCTGACTCCCCCCAGCCCCTCACCCCTGCCAGCTTCCAGCAGCCCAATCACCGTCTATAAATCCTGTTGCTGGCATCCGGGGTCTCTTAGGCAACAATGTGTAGGCTCCTGATTGGCCGCGAGATCCAGGAAGGCTGGCTACAAAATTGGGCACGGGGATAAAATTAACAAGCGTGGCGGCCAAGAGCGTGGGAGGGATTGCAATGTCTCAATATAACCCCACAATGAAGATGCGTCGACTCCTGAAACAAGCAGCGTTGAAAGCCTTCATTCAAGACGCAGTGTGTCCCAAATCAGCCCTACCTAAGGAGCATGCCCAGTCACATTGTCCCAGTCACTCTGGAGCTGCGAAACGCAGGCTCCACTGTGCCAGGTTTTAAGAGTGGCCAACAGGTAAACAGAGGGTTGGAGGAAAAAGAATTCGAGACTGGTTCAATTGAAGAATAGCACCTGCAACCGGAAGTGGAAGGATGGGGCCGGGAGGAATTGCGCAACACACAGACACACAAATGCTTCAATGCAAATTTCAATGTATTAGATTATAGAATTCACGCTGACTGACAGATACACCAGGGAACCAGCAGATGGCATGCCCTAATAAGAATAACTAAATTTGGGAACTCTTAAAATCCTGTCCAATTCATTAAGTTTATTGAGTGCCTGCCTTGTAATAAGCAGAATGAGAATACAAGGATAAAAAAGAAAGCGAAAGAGGAAGACTAGAAACTGCAATATACAAATAACTAATAGAAGGCTCATACAGGTAACCAGCTGTTACAGAGTTATGAACAAGTGCTGGAGGTTATCAACAAGTTCAAAATTCCAGAACAGAGGTTCTTTCGTCAATGTAAAGCAGTTCTTATAGGCGGCAGTCAACAACAACAAAAAGCAAAACAAAACAGCAACAAAAGACTGTTGTCACTATCTTTGTTTTTCCAAATAAATAAGAATGCATTGTCCTCTGACTTAAAGGTACAAACCCAGTGTTTCTGTTGTGTTTTATAGTTTTTATTTTTATTTTTGAGGGGACGGAGTTTTGCTCTTCTGGCCCAGGCTGGAGTGCATCGGGGCGATCTCGGGTCACTGCAACCTCTGCCTCTCAAGTTCAAGCGTTTCTCCTGCCTCAGCCTCCAGAGTAGCTGGGGTTATAAGCATGTGTCACCACAGGCCTGTTTTATAATTTTTAAATAGGAAGCATTTGTATATCTTCAGTTTAAAAAGAAAAAGTGAAGTTCATAGAAGCTGTTGCTTTCCTTAGGTTAAAAAGGATTGGCCGGGCGCGGTGGCTCAAGCCTGTAATCCCAGCACTTTGGGAGGCCGAGGCGGGTGGATCACGAGGTCAAGAGATCGAGACCATCCTGGTCAACATGGTGAAACCCCGTCTCTACTAAAACTACAAAAAATTAGCTGGGCATGGTGGTGCGTGCCTGTAATCCCAGCTACTCAGGAGGCTGAGGCAGGAGAATTGCCTGAACCCAGGAGGCGGAGGTTGCGGTGAGCCGAGATTGCGCCATTGCACTCCAGCCTGGGTAACAAGAGCGAAACTCCGTCTCAAAAAAAAAAAAAAAAAAAGGATCAGTGGCCAGGCGCTGTGGCTTGCGCCTGTAATCCTAGCACTTTGGGAGGCCAAGGCGGGTGGATGGCCTGAGCTCAGGAGTTGGAGATGAGCCTGGGCAACACGGTGAAATGCTGTCTCTACTAAAATACAAAACATTAGCTGGGTGTGGCAGTAGATACCTGTAGTCCCAAGTACTTGGAAGGCTGAGGCAGGAGAATTGCTTGAACCCAGGAAGTGAAGATTGCAGCGAGCCGAGATTGCGCCACTGCACTTGAGCCTTGGTGACAGAGCAAGACTCTGTCTCCAAAAAAAAAAAAAAAGGATCAGTAAGTGGCCAAACTGAAATTAAAACCTAGGTTGTTTGAATTCCAGCCTAGTGATTTTTTCCACATGACCAGGTTGTACCTAAATGAATAAACAAAGCCTTGGGGGCAGGGGCGGTGAGGGGGCGGCCTGGGGGAGGTACTAGATGCAATACTAAATTACCATGCATTACCAGTTAGCTTTTATGGTTTCAAAACAGGTTCATCCAGAAAAAGACCAGTTTTAACAGCATCGGGAGTGCTGTGTGAAGTTCCCACTCATTAAAGACTTCGTATTGGTGGTTACAACCATGGAATGAAAGAGACATGGGATTATAGAGAGCATCTCCTTTAGCCCTGTTGGATTTGAATATTTTCATCCCTGAAAAGGTGGCCTCTTTCTTCTTGCCTCTCAACCCAACGCCTTCTTGGCCTCCTCTTGTCCTGCACCTCGTCATCTGACTACTGTCATCCCAAAAGAACCTGAGCCACTCCATCCACGCCGTCTGTGTTCACAGTGAGCACATAGAGCTCAATGTCTGTGACACTGCAACGTTACTTTCTTTTTTTTAAGAGAGGAATGGCTTTGTCGCCTAGGCCACAGTGTGGTGGCACAACGATAGCTCACTACCGCTTTGAAATTCTGGGCTTAAACAATCCTCCCAGGCCATTTTTTTAATTTTAATTTTTGTAGAGACAGGATCTTGCTATGTTCCCACAGGCTGGTCTCCAAAATGCTGGGATTACAGGCGTGTACCACCTTGTTCAGTCCCAAACATTAATTACTTTTAAGGGGGATATTTCAAACATAAAGAAAGGTTTGAACACTTTCATAAGAAACATCACTGATTCTCCACAGAGATTTTTAAAAAATGTTACATTTGTGTGTATTTCATACATACAGTAGAACCTTCTTTTGTCTCATTCCCCTCCCTGCCTGCCTAGAGGCAGTCATTGTCACAAAACTGGTGTGCGGCCTTTCTGTCCTTTTTAAGCTTTTATTGTATGTACATTTGCCCTCATAAACATTACATAGTATTGCTAGGTTTTTTTTGTTTTATTTTTCTGAAGAGGCATCATCACTTACATATATTGTGTTGGATTTTTTCCACTCCATGTTCCTTTTGTGAGATTTAGTCACGACAATACAGTAGTGATCATTTCTACATCATTCCCACCTCGTGATGTTGAGCTATGATGTGTCCTATGCCTCACAGTCTTTACCAGATGATGCGTACATTGAATAAAAATGCATGTCACAGCGCATCTCCGGAGGTTCCCCAGCTACAAGGGATCTGACACACACAGTTCCCCCTCACTTTCTGCCCCCCTCACTCACTCTCCACAGAGGCACCTCTGGCTCCAGAGGATACACCGCTTTGCCAAGAATCAACCAAGAATCGATATTATTATTTTAAACCTTGTTTACTGAACAAGAATTTACTTATTAGAGAAACTGAAACTGTCATTTCAGATCTCATTTATCATGCTGTTCACACAGGTGATCACAAATCACCTTCTGATGTGAAACTCGAGGTCTAACTCCGAAACTCTTCAACATTTACTTAACATGTATCAATTAAGCGCCTTTCTAAAAAAAATTGTAAAATACAGATAACATAAATGCAGCATCGTAACCATTTTTAAATGTACAGTTCTAATAGTGCTAAGTCCATTCACATCGTTCAATTTCTCTTAGTCCTATGTGCTACCAACAGAACAAAATGATGCCCATGAAATCTAGGTTGAGGAGAAACGAAAAAGAAGAGAAAGAAAAGACAGGTTAAACGGTGCAGTGAAAAGAAAAACAGCCCTAGGTGGGAATGAATCCAGGCCCTGTCGTTAAAACGCTGCATGGCTTTGGGTAAATCTAACCTTTTGGGGCGTTCTCTTCCTCGTCTGAAAAATGAGAGGTTCGGTTTAGATGACCTTGGAGAACTCTTTCAACTCTAAAGCCGCTTATGTAGAAAAGGAGAGGAAAAATATTTCCTAAGGAGCAAAAAATGGGGCGCGCACCAGTAACGCCCAGCTCCACCTGTTTCCTAAGATCTTGGCCAAGAGCTTAAGAACTATCCCGGGCGAGTAGCCTGTTCTGTCTACTACCCTGTTTCGCGTGGAGCTCTGCAGCTGGCCAGGTGCCACCACCCCCTGCACCCCATTCCACCCTCAGCATCCAGGGATCTGCCTCTTGAGCACCCCCAATCCCCAGGTCCCGAGGTCGGCATCTCTGGTTCTCAGACCAGGTATAGGTGGTCCTGCAATCACAACATCCACGCTGTGTCATACGGCGAGGGAGTGCATTGCGAGGAGGGCACCAAGCGCAGCTCAGATGAACGCCTCCAGGGCTCAGAACGAGCACGCCGGGGCAGGGCAGCTCCAGGCGTCACTCAGGGTGCGAGGCAGAGAACAACGAGGCGCGCCCGGCCAGCCCTGAGCGCCGAGGCTCCAGGACGGAGCGCTCGGCCGAGCGTGCTCAGTGCGCCTGCGCCGTGCGTGAGCGCGCTCGTACGCTCGCTCCCCGGGCGGCGCGCCTAGGCGCTCGCGAAAGCTCGCGGTGGCTCCGAGGCGCGCGCCGGCGGTCCTCGGCCGCTCCGGGTACCCGAGGGACGCGCGGCCGCCCCCGGCCGGCGCTGCAGCCCCCACCCCTTGGAGCCAGGGGCCGGGGTCTGAGGTGAGCCCCCCGAAGCGTGCAGGCCCCCAGGCCAGGGCGGCGGGAGAGGGAGCGGCGAGTGTGGAGCCCGAGGAGGCGCTTGCTGCTCCGCCTCAGCCCGCGCTGAGGAGCCAGCTGCAGCCCGGCGCCTCCTCCTCAGGGATCGTTTCTCTCGTCGCGGCCACAACAAAAGCCTTGGGCGCCGGGCTGGGGCTGGCGGCGGAGCTGGGGCCCGGGCCCGCGGTGGCGGCCGGGGGGCGCGGGGACGCCTAGTTTGGGGCTCAGGGCTGACGCGGCGAGCTGCCCCGGGAGACGGTTAACCCTGTCCTCCCTGAGCCGGCGCTCGGCAACCTGTGCGAGTGTGGACCGCGGTTTGCTCGCCTCCATCCCGGCCCAGACCCTGCGCGGCTCGGAGAGGGGCCCGGCCGGAGCCGGCTGCAACGGGGGGCGCCGGGGGGCGTGGGCGGAGGACAATGCGCCGGGGACTCCTGGCCGCCCGAGGCGCGCGCCGCCAGGCTCCCGGCTCCGGCTCGGGTCAGCGTCGGGCCCACCTTTGCCTGCCCACGCCTGAAAGTTGTCCCCTCCCGCCCATCAGTTTCCAAAGTCCTTGCTGCCTTCCGCGCTCTTCCTCCGGCTGCCCCCTCCGCGGGCTGTGGGTTTGCGGTGGAGCGGGCGCCGCCGGATCCCCGAGGGGCCGCCTCTGAAATCAAGCTGCGGCGAAACAGCCGGCAAGGTTAAGGAGCCTTGTGCCTTTCAAGACATATAAACATCTTCCTAGAGGCGTTTTCCATCTTAGTCTTGAGTTCGATCCCCCTGTTGTAGCAGAAGGCAAGGGGGCTTTTCTTGGTTTTGTTTTTAAGAACAAAAGCACGTGCCATGAATTGAGGCCGTGGAGAGGACTCCAGATTTAGAGAGATCTGCCCCATGAAGGAGGTCCGGCGTTTTGCCCAGTGTAGAAT